ATATGGCATATTATGGTCTATTTGCATCTTAACTTCCATTTGCGATTACCTATAAATGGCTAAGCAGATACATAATTTAAGGTCCCATTATTTGTATTGTATTGCTGTTGGTTTTCCGAATTAAAAAAAAAAAACCGAGGGCTCTGCGGTGCCTCGCGTGCTGGGGCGAGGGCCATATGACGCACAATTGCGCGGCCGTGGTGGATCGCAGTTCGCTGTGCTTCCGCTGCGGCGAACCCGGCCATAGACAGAGAGGCTGCCCGGCTGCGGCGCTTAAATGTGCCTTGTGTGCAGCCGAGGGGAGAGCTGCTGACCATGTGGCAGGGACCAAAAAGTGTCCCGTGCCGAAACAGCTCTCCAAAGCGAAGAAGGCGGTCGCTGCGTCCTGCGACGAGTTTTCGCTCGCTGTCGCTGACCGCATGAGCAAGGAGCAGGCCTCAAAGGTGGCAAGCTCACAGGGGGTACCCTCCGGGGGGAGGAGGCCCTCAACGAAGTGAGTCCCAGAGCGCGCGCGGGTGTTCCGCGCGCTTTGGAGGGAGCCGGTTGCGGCAGATGCGCGAGGTGCACACGTGGTGTTAAGCCCCTGGTAAGCCCTATGTGCACCTCATATCGCGCTAGCAGAGGACCCCATGAGGTTTTAGTGGGTAGGCCCCGATTTAACCCTTAATTACGCGCATAAAGAATCTTACATAACTGCTCGCATGGGGTCACAGATGACCCCAAATTGTATGAGTAGTTTTTAATACATACTGAAATTTTATAAGTAAATGAACTATATTATTATAAAAATGCTTTATTTATTATTTAATGTCTATAGGTAATAACATGAATTTCTCACTAATTATACAAAAACAAGCTAAATTAAAATAATTGTCAATAATTAACAATTTGTACTTAGGTATACTGAGATCATAGGTAATATTAGTATTTTTTAGGAACTCTCGGAATCATTCTTGTTACACTGTTGACAGTATATTTCAGAGTGATCATTGCACACAAATCTTGTACATTTCTTGCATTTTCGATTCACTTGATTGTGCGGAGGATTGCTCGATCTCATTAGCGCTATCATGATCACTTTTTGTTATTTCATCTAACTCTGGTTCAGAACTCGACCCTCCAACTTCTTCTTCATCAGAAACATCTTCCAACCATTGCACAATTTGCTATTTTTTCCTATCTCTACTAACTCTAGGGTTTCTGATTTCTCGACCTATTTTTTTTCTCGAGTTTCAAGAATTCTCGAGGCCAAAGTCTCGAGTTTTCTCGGGTCTCGAGTCTTTTAATGAAAACTGCTGAAATCGGTTGAAATTTAATAAAAACACAGGTTTTTTAAATCTAATATACCTACTTTTATGCACAACAATCAATATTAGAATTTAGTACCACTTATTTTGGTAAAGAAACAAACAAAAAATAAAGTCTTCTTTCATAATTCATATTTACTAATAAATCATAACAAAAGTCATAAAGTCGCGTGCACTTTAAGGATAAATAACAATAAAAATCTGGAGCTACAATTGAATCACTTGTTTTCTAAAGAACACAACTCCAAATAGCAAAATTACGATACTTAAATAAATGTCCATTTTTTTTAGACTAGTCGATACCACGCTTCCACGCAATCTATGCACATGTCGTGGCAGCTTTTAAGGCTACACTATAAACACGTATTGTTTTCAATGTTTTTTCCAGATAATTGTGTATGTCTTGTAAGCTGTCCTTAAATAAATAAATAAATAGTTTTTGTTATGAACAAAAAAATCTTTTTAATAATTTTTAAATTTCTTACAGATAACGACTTGAATAAACTTTACAAGGAGGCACGAGTACCTTTTTTTTTTTTTCGCTGGAAAATGCTTTGCGCATACCTACCGCCCTCGGGGGGGGGGGGGCAAGAGGGTTATGTGGGACTCTCCCCGATTGGGGTATGTACCTAACCTAACGTCTGTTAGGTAAGGTAACTGTCTAGTTAACAAATTTTTCAGTCAGATTAAACATACATAATAAATATAGCATACTCGTTGGTGAACATTATTACTTAGTTTCGATTGAGATCATGACTTGCAAATCAAATCAGTTAAAAAAGGAAAGACTAGGCCAGTCTAAAAGCAACGTTGACCTATTAAATAATAAAAAACTTACTTTTGTCTAAGAAAATCGGCTTTCAAGAATATTAAAGCTTCAAAACCGAAACTCGAGAGTTCTCGAGCTCCGGTAATTTTTTTCTCGTCTCGAATGAAGCCAAATTTCTCGAGTTTTCTCGAGTTCGAGAAAGCTCGAGCAGAAACCCTAA